TGCGAATTTACTGGAAAACGTGCCGAATTCGTCCTGGACTAAAGTACAACTACACAAAAATGTTGAGTTTCCAAATCATGCATTAAAAGTGAAATTGCTGGAGATTGTTGCAAGGTTTGTTTCCTTAAATTCCATGCAGCATGGTGTATTCGTAGTAGGTAATACTTTTAGTTTCGAGCCTAAAAATTTGTTATGTCAGAAACAAACCTTCAATACGGTATGGTGCTGATAAGGCGGCATTAGAAAATGGGCATACGGTACTATGATTGCTTCCCTACCATTTCGTTTTATATTTCAAACAACACTATAACCGACACATTGGCGAAAAAGGTTAAGCAGATAAAATTATTTAGATATGTGGCAACAAGCCACATTGATGCAGTTACACCTGGAAGCACTGGAACTATTTGTGGCTGTTGAAGTTGGAAAAGTAAAACAAAGACATCAATAAACCACATTAATATATTAAAAGCTCGAATGCGTTTCGACAGCAAGACTGTCATTATCACAAATGATACCCCCAAGCAGCACTATCTGTATGGCTGCCAACATACCATTTGTTGCATCTTTGAATAAGGTATAATAATTAAAGGATTACATGATGCTACGTAAACATACTTAGTGGTGACTTCATAATACACTGATGACGCTGATGATTGAATAACGCCTTGTAAATGTCAATTATAAAATTTTTTGAACTGTTGTAAATGTGGAAAATTCCAAATTCCAAAACATTTTTGAACAATGAATAATTTCCCTAAGGGAGAGGGGGGGCACCTATAAAAATAGGGTTAGACAACAATACAAATGCCGAAAAATTAGGCAAATATTCGAAAAATTGATAGAATTTTTTTAAAAATCCGAAAAAACAAAAAATCAGGATCAGACAAATTAAAAAAAAACTGTCTGTTATTAATAACGTTTGGCGTATTCAATCAGTTCGATCAGGAACGGCATAAGTTCATCAATTTTCATGATTTCTGTAGAGGGATATGTATAAAAGGTAATGTTCGCAGACATTCTTTGTGAAAAAAATTATTAAAGTAAACTCAAGAGTAAACCTAATTTGTAAGTTTTTAACAGGAATCCCTAGTTAGTATCCCGTTAAATGAATAGTTTGAAGGGGTGCCGTGTTTCAGTTTTAGATCACAGCCAACCATCAACAAATAGTTATTTACATAAAAGTCCGGAAAATGATACATTACTGGGGAGGCAATATTGAAGTGCGAGGTCCCAGTCAGACAATGACATTTTACTGACGAGTTTTGTATGAAATTTTACCCAAAATCGTTTTCAATACAAAATTTTATATACAGGGTGTTACACGACCGTTCGAAAAAAAAAAATCGGGTTGTAGAGGGCATCAAAACAAGCACTTTTTCCAAATAAACCGAGGGTCCAACGTGGTTCGTTTGGGAGCCACCCCCCAAAGAGTGTTGAAATCTGCATTTCTTCTTTAATTTTTTTCTCAGCAACCATAAGAGTTACAAAGTCGGGTGGCATGTCTTTGAATAGGTTTTTGGGTATGCTCTTTCCGATTTTGCAATTTTTTTTTCAAAATTCCTACCCCTAAAGGGCGCACCCCTAAACTAGGGTGCAAAAAAAAATTCTGATTTCGACGAAATTTGGTATCTGGGGGTTTTTTAACATGAAAATCACGAATCTGAAATTAGTTTTTGAAAATTCGAAAAAAAAAGTTCCACTGCAATTCTTGGCGGGACAACGAAAATAGAGATAATTCCACGAAATTTGTTGTGTACATACTAAACGAGTTAAGGAACAAAACTGTCGAACAGTTTTTTAAAATACCTTTTCAAACAAAAGTTATACTCATTTGAATGTTGGTCCTTCGGGTCGCGAAGTGTCCCAAGCCTACTAGTAAGCCATAATTTCGCATGTGTTTTATTCAGTTGAAGATAATCTTAAAGGTCACGGTTCATTTTTTCTAGAAAACATTTGGCAGTTCTGAAAAGAACTTTTTTTGTTTTTAGTGATCAGTAACGGACTTCACTTCTTCCAAAAATGAAGCGATATGCTTATGCAACATTTTCAAAAATGCCACCGCCAGCAGCCACGCACAATCTGCATCTCCTTGGAACAGAATTTGACGACTTCAACACCATCATAGGATTGGTTTTAATAACTTCTGAAGCTGCCATCACGCGAGCAACCAGTTCTTCCACCGAATCGATTATTCCATTTTCGCTATACACTAAATTTTTCAGGTGCCCCCACAAAAAAAAATCTAGTGGCGTAAGGTCGGGCGATCTCGATGGCCATGCTACTGGACCACCTCTTCCGATCCAACGATTGGGGAAAGTAGCGTTCAAGTGATCGATGACGGCACGATTGAAGTGGAGCGTGTTCTTTTGGAAGTTATTTTTCAACCTAAGATTATGAAAATTTTTGATCATAGTGAAAAAGTATCATACGGAAAGTGATTTGACTTTTTCCCCTACCTTATTTAGATAATAAATAATCGATCAGCGCTTTAAGATACCTTGGTAGGTGTTTTAATCGATACATCGAATTTTTTAATCATTTAATGACCGAATTAATTCCAAATAACAAAATATCGACTCAAACCGTTAATCTTTTGTTTTTGCGACATTGTCAACCAACACATGCGAAATTATGGCTTACTAGTAGGCTTGGGACACTTCGCGACCCGAAGGACCAACATTCAAATGAGTATAACTTTTGTTTGAAAAGTTATTTTAAAAAACTGTTCGACAGTTTTGTTCCTTAACTCGTTTAGTATGTACACAACAAATTTCGTGGAATTATCTCTATTTTCGTTGTCCCGCCAAGAATTGCAGTGGAACTTTTTTTTCGAATTTTCAAAAACTAATTTCAGATTCGTGATTTTCATGTTAAAAAACCCCCAGATACCAAATTTCGTCGAAATCAGAATTTTTTTTTGCACCCTAGTTTAGGGGTGCGCCCTTTAGGGGTAGGAATTTTGAAAAAAAAATTGCAAAATCGGAAAGAGCATACCCAAAAACCTATTCAAAGACATGCCACCCGACTTTGTAACTCTTATGGTTGCTGAGAAAAAAATTAAAGAAGAAATGCAGATTTCAACACTCTTTGGGGGGTGGCTCCCAAACGAAACACGTTGGACCCTCGATTTATTTGGAAAAAGTGCTTGTTTTGATGCCCTCTACAACCCGATTTTTTTTTTTTCGAACGGTCGTGTAACACCCTGTATAACTTTTTTGTGTCTCCCTGCTTCAAAGCTTTGTTTTCTGTAGCCAAATTAGTCCAGAAAGTTATGATTTGCTGGCCTAGGCCGGCAAAAATATCACTAAAAACTGGTTGGTGGAACTGATTTAATTTGCAATGACAGTTCTAAATTTAAATTAAATTGTTAGAATGATAGGCATATTTTTTGTGCAAATTCCATTTTAAGCACTTTATGGCTTGGTAGGTAACATAGTAATACGTATATGTAAATGCGATAGGTAAGTACCCTAATCAAGAATTGTAAGTTTCACTTACAAGTTTTCGTTTAGTGCGGTTATGACACTTGTACATGTTTACTGATGGTAACCTTACGGTTTATGGCAAAAAACAGAGAGCTAATTGAAAGTATAGGAAATTGAAGTTTACCTACTTCCACACTCGATGCCAGGAATGCCAACAAATGGTTTCGCATGTAAATTAACGCAGTCAAAAAACACAACACTAAACGGATGAAGAGTAACGACACTATATGATTTGTAATTATTATTATTTCTGCCATTGTTAACATTAAACTGTATACATTATTCCATAAATTATATATCTACAAGCAAGTATATTTCTCTGAAGATGACAGTTTCCGAAAAGGAGGTGTACGCATATGAAAACGGTTTCTTGTCGATATCTATGCTCATATCTATAATGAAAATTTCCGACATCAGTTACTTCCGTGTAGTAAGACGATAATAATCAAACGACACTGCATACACCAAATTGTAGATTTGCACGGAGCAATCATCGGCCCTCTTGCTGCTCTCCTCGTAATCGACAGCCAACGAGAAGTAGATATCCAAACAAACTTGTTATCATTCTTATATGTAATGGAATTAATATGATAAATCAATTTGCAAATGAAAACATTGCAACCCAATTCTCAAAATAGGTGTAAGCCGTAAGCACTAGCTGAAATTGAAATACATTTCAAGGTTATGTTTCCCATTGAAATCAACTTACTACTTATTAGTTTTAGCGCAGCTTCTTTTAAATGTTATGAACTTCTTAAGACTGGGCTAAGCGTTTTAGAAATTTGTAATAATAATTAAATTAACGTAAATGCTTTGTTTATTCATTTAATCACAATTAATGTGGAATAAACACTGGTAAATATCGGTTGTGAATTGACATGCTTGTGCTACCAACCGCCAACTGTCTGTGCTACCAACATAACATCGAAATATTGGAAATTTGAATGCAAGTATGACGGCTTAGGAGGTAGAAATATAAATTTTAAAATGAACGTTGTTCCCTCAAATTTTTTACTTCGACACAAAAAATCTTGTGTATTACACGTCCATAAAAATGTTTTGCGAGTATTCGTATTGCAACCTTACTCACACTCGCAAACATCCATTTTCTGGACTTGATACAAATAACTATTGATTAATGTCAATCTGTCAGTGACGTCTGTAAGGTGACGGTGCGGCCGGTAAAGTGACAGGGGCGGCCAGTAAAGTGACAAGCGGCAGGAAACGTAGTCTGCTCTGCCTCTGTCATGGAAACTAAAATTTCCTAACAGAAAGTACCCAGACAGCACCAAACGTTCGGCGAACGTTTATTTTATAGCCAAATAATGCCCCAACGTCCCGGGACTTTAAATGAACGTTCAAAGGACGTATTTTAAAGGTTGTCCCAGGGACGAACTGAGGCAAATGTCTTGCGAACGTTCATTATAAGTCTCATGTCTGTTAAGATACAGGGAACGTTCTCTGGACGTTTTTAAATTGTATAGTAAAACCTACCTTTATAATTCTTGAATTGGTATAGAATGTAATTATTATAATTGGACCTGGGCGCGTTCGGAGTGATCTACGTTCGCAAATAGCGGTGCACATAATATCGTATAGGTACGTACTGAATTCGTTAATGTTTGCCAATTGATGTGAGTTGCAATTAATATTTAATACCTGTGTTGATTTCGTATACCTACAATGCCAAAGTATAAATTAAGTCGCTCATCTTATAGACATGCTCAAGTTAAATCAAATCAACAAATTGTGCAACTTGAACATACAGGTCTGTTAAATATTAGTAATACCACCAATGGTTTTATCGACGAAACTTCCATTGACAAAAACGTACTGCAGTTAGATGATTTTGATTATTCCTTTTTGTCCTCTTATGTTGAAAAGGAAAACACTGATGCTAATTTTGTAACTAGCTGCGATAAGAATCCTAAAACGCCTATCTGGAATGATCTCAGTAATGGTAATGAATTAAATTTTCGCACAATACATAATAAATCACTACCGCTTGATCTTGATCCAAGTAAATTAGCTGATTGGGCGATCGAAAATTCAATCACACATGCTGCAATTAATAGTTTGCTCAGTCTGCTTAAACCATTTCATTCTAATTTACCAACAGATGCCCGGACATTGTTAAGTACACCCAGAAAATTAAAGTTAGATATTATAGAACCAGGGCATTATTATCATTTTGGGTTGAATATTGCTGTTACTAAATTAATTCAGAAATATGGTAAAAACTTAGAATGTATTAAAATTTGTATAAGCATTGACGGTTTGCCTCTATCAAAAAGTAGCAGTAATCAGTTATATCCAATTTTATGCAATCTGTATGAAAATCCACAGGTGGTTGAAACTGTAGGTTTGTATCAGGGATTTGACAAACCAAAAAATGCCAATTTGTTATTAGAGAGGTTTATTGGAGAGGCAGTGTCTTTAACACTGAATGGTTTTCACTGTAATGGTTACATTATTCCTTTTAAAATCGTTGCTTTTATTTGTGATGCTCCAGCAAAAGCATTTATTTTATTTACAAAGGGACATACAGGTTATAATTCATGCTCAAAGTGTCACATTGAGGGGACTTTTATAAATAACCGTGTTTGCTTTCCTGAGGTTGATAATTTGAGACTCCGAACTGATACTGATTTTAGGGAAAAAGTAGACGATGGTCATCATGTTGGAACATCATTAGTTGAAACAATACCTAATTTTGATATGGTAAATGATATTGTCCTTGATCCCATGCACTTAATTCATTTGGGGGTAATGAGGAAGTTATTGATATTGTGGATAGAAGGAAAGCCAGGCTCAAAACTGCCATCCTTGAAAGTAAAAATGATTTCGGATCATTTATTGTCACTGAAACACAACATTCCAATAGAATTTAACAGAAAACCTAGGTCACTTAGTGATATTAAGCGGTTTAAAGCTACGGAATTTCGGCAGATTTTATTTTACACAGGACCTCTTATTTTAAAATCAGTTCTGTCTTTTGATATGTATTTGAATTTTCTTTCATTACATGCGGCAACAACAATTTTATCGAATTCTACTTTGATATGTGAATTAGGAGATTATGCAGACTCTTTATTTAAATATTTTATTACTACATTTGGGGTTTTATATGGAAAAGATCAGATATCTCATAATATCCATAATTTAATTCATATTTCTAAAGATGCAAAACAATTTGGTATCTTGGAACAATTTTCTGCTTATCCCTTTGAAAACTATTTACAGAGGTTTAAGACATTAATCCGAAAAGGTGACAAACCCTTACCCCAAATTATAAAAAGAATAATGGAACAGCACTCTAGTCAACACACTTCTACACAACTTTTTGAAAAATTTCCCGTTCCTAAAAATCCTCATTTCGATGGGCCATTACTGAATTTTGAGTATTTAGAGCAATACAAGCAAATTAATTTTAATAATTTTATATTGAAGTTGTCTGAAGCAGATAGTTGCTGTTGCTTACATGACAAAACCGTGGTACTAATTAAAAATTTTGTGAAAACTGCTGAAAATTTGTTTATTATTGGACAAAAATTTGAACAAATTGAAGATTATTATACAGAACCATGTAAATCATCAATTTTAGATATATTTCTTGTAAGTCGGATTGGAGCTTTATGTTCTTGGAACGTAAATCAAATCGCCTTTAAATGTGTGAAATTCCCATTTGGTAATAAATTTGTAGTATTTCCCTTGTTACATTCTGCAACTACCAAATAAAATACCTTATTTTGGTTTGTGAATACAACGTAATTGGATGAACATGTAAATTATGTTTAATTTTAATTTTCACGCTTTTAGTGGAAAGTGTCTCTTATTTTCATTCTCTTCATTTAGAAAGAAGATATTTTCAAATTATGTATTACAATGCATGATACTAATGCGTTAGTCAAGAAGAGGCACTTCCCACTACAATCTGATTTTTATCACTTTCATTTATTTTTTCTAACTGATATTTTTCTATGCATCTATCTATGCATAAAAAGCATGCCACACAATGGGAATCTCACCTGGTCTGTCATCAAATTCCCAGAAGAAAATTCTGTATCCGTGGTACCAACCTCGTGGCTACATGGCAATATATGCTTCTGGCCGCCGTATAATAGAAAACTGTTGCAAGACGCAATTGAGAAAGGGGACCCTCCCGATAAAGAAGTTTGGCAGCAGTTTCAATTTTTACCCTTAAGGAATAATATATTTGGTAAGACACTAATTTATCACTTCTCTATAATTATTGAAATTATGCAGATAATTTTAAAGAAGCTGAACGTAAATCACGCAAAGCAACAATAACTTCAGATTTGGATTCACAAATGGAAGATCATCCTGAGCACATAACAAGTAAAAGAAAAAGGAAAATACGAAAAATGTCAAGTAGCGATAATGATTCTTCGGGAGATGACGAAGATATGAGGCGTAAACTCCCAAAACCTCCCCAGCCAAATTTACATAAACAAAGCGTCTTTTCGCAACATTCATCAAATCAAGTACTTCAAACATTTACTGATTCAGAAGAGTTTGGGAATAATGACATCACTGATGCTGTGAATACGTCTTTCCCAGAGGGCTTTCGAGACGTGAGACCGCTTTCGAGTAATAGTAATAATAACGGTTATTCCACTACCATCACATCCAAGTCTACGCAAGTTGATAAGAATAATGTTGGTGATATCACAGGTAAGAACTATTTAAATATATGTATGCATCTTATAAGTGTACATTATTCTAGAATATCTAAAAATGATTTTGCGGAAACAGAACATATTGCAATGTATGGTCGCTGATATGAACACAAAGCTTCAAAATATTGAAAATTCTATCCAGAGCAATAAACAAGCAGATGACAAAAATGAATCTGACTACGACTCTTCACTTTTTGTATTGATTGAAAATTTGCCAATCAATTCCAATGAGACTCTCAAAGAAGTTGAAGATTTCTTATCTGATGAAAAAAAATTGAATGACGCAGTAAGTTTAATTAATGACAACATTCTGAATTTCACATCTTGTTTATAGGTAAGGGAAATTTCCAAACTGGGAGGCAACACTGCATATGAATTTATACTTAGAGTGACAAAAAAATTAATAACAGACAGATTCGCTGGCAATGAATTTAGTTTCTTGGGAAGGAAAAAAAAAAAACGATTCATAGATTTGAAATTGGCATTGCTGTTAAAAAGTAAGTTTATATATGTTATGTATTAGGTAATCTACAGATACTGTAAGAGAATAGTAACGGCCAATTTCCCTATTAGCGTCATTAAAGAATTTATGCAATTTAAATAGGTAGCGCTTATATTAACAAATCTCAAATTTTTAAATTCGACGATTTGATAAATATCACATACTTTTCT